CATCATCATCATCATGTTCATCATCATCATCATCATGTTCATCATCATCATCACCATCATCATCATCATCATCATCACTCAAACTTAAAGACAGTGCTCCCTAAATTTCACCAGCATGTTTCCTGCAATACAAGAGGAAACAAAACTCTGGACCATGTTTACACAAACATCGCAGGAGCCTACACCACGACCCCCCTCCCCCACCTGGGACAGTCAGACCACCTTTCTTTGTTCCTCATCCCCAAGTACTCCCCACTCATCCAACGTGTGAAGCCATCAGTAACAACTATTAAAGTGTGGCCAGCGGGGACAGACTCTGTACTTCAGGACAAGTTCCATCACACAGACTGGAGTATGTTTGCTTCTCAGGCTACCTGGGCTCTCACACAGACATTGACACCTACACTTCTTCTGTGCTGGATTATATCAACACCGCCATCGACAGTGTTACAACATGGAAGCAGATCACCACGTACCCAAATCAGAAGCCATGGATGAACAAGGAGGTGCGTCTCCTGCTGAAGGCCCGCAACACCGCCTTCAGATCAGATGATGCAATGGCCTACAGCGTATCCAGGGCAAACCTGAGGAGGGGCATCATCAAGGCCAAGCACTGCTACAAGCTGAAGGTTGAGGAACACTTCTCCAACTCCGACCCCAGACGCATGTGGCAGGGCATCCAGGCCATTAGTGACTATAAACCCAGAAACTCCACCCCGATAACCACAGATGTCTCCTTCCTGAACGAGCTAAATCACTTTTATGCTCGTTTCGATAGAGACAACAGAGAGACGCAGACCACGACCAGACCTCCTGCAGACAACCAGCCCCTCTCACTCACCTCCACAGACGTCCACGCTGCACTGAGCCGGATCAACGCTCGAAAGGCTGCTGGTCCAGACGGCACCCCCGGGCGCGTGCTTAGAGCATGTGCGGAGCAGCTCACTGGGGTTTTTACGGACATCTTCAACCTGTCCCTCGCCCAAGCAGCTGTGCCAGCATGCTTCAAAGCCACCTCCATTGTCCCAGTGCCGAAACACTCCAGCCCGACAGGCCTGAATGACTACCGCCCTGTAGCACTCACACCCATCATAATGAAGTGCTTTGAGCGACTGGTCCTAGCACACCTGAAAAACTGCCTCCCACCCACACTGGACCCATACCAGTTTGCCTACCGCAGCAATAGGAGTACAGAGGATGCAGTCTCCACTGCGCTGCACTCTGTGCTCACTCATCTGGACAATAACAACACATACGCACGAATGCTGTTTGTTGATTTTAGCTCAGCATTCAACTCTGTCATCCCCTCCAAGTTAAACACTAAACTCGGAGACCTGGGCTTCAACACCTCCCTCCGTCACTGGATAATGGACTTTCTGACCAACAGACCCCAGTATGTTAGGTCAGGACACACCTGCTCCACCACCATCACACTCAACACAGGCGTACCACAGGGCTGTGTGCTGAGCCCATTCCTCTACTCCCTCTTCACCCACGACTGCAGACCTGTACATGGATCCAACACCATCATCAAGTTTGCGGACGATACGGCGGTGATTGGCCTCATCAGCAACAACGATGACACGGCCTACAGGGAGGAGGTACAGCATCTGGCCGCCTGGTGTGCTGACAACAACCTGCTCCTCAACACCAGCAAGACGAAGGAGATCATCGTGGACTTCAGGAGAGAAAGAGGAAGCACGCACAACCCCATTCACATCAACGGGATGGCTGTTGAACGTGTCTCCAGCTTCAAGTTCCTGGGGACCCACATCACAGAGGACCTCTCCTGGTCCACTAACACCTCCAGTCTGGTTAAGAAGGCTCATCAACGCCTCTTTTTCCTGAGGACACTGAAGAGACACCACCTGTCTTCAGCTGTACTGATGAACTTCTACCGCTGTATGATCGAGAGCATCCTGACCAGCAGTGTCTCAGTCTGGTACGGAAACTGCTCTGTCACAGACCGTAAGGCGCTACAGCGGGTGGTAAAAACCGCCCAGCGCATCACAAGGTGTCCACTTCCTGCCATTGAGGATGTCCAAAGAAAACGCTGTCTGCGGCGAGCTCACGGCATCCTTAAAGACTCCTCCCACCCTGCCCACAGACTGTTTACCCTCCTGCCCTCCGGTAGGCGCTTCAGAAGCCTCCGGACCAGAACCAGCAGACTGAGGAACAGCTTTTTCCCCAGAGCTGTTTCTCTACTGAACTCTACCCCCGAACTCTGAACTCTGTCTCTCTCTCTCTCTCCCTCTCTCTCTCCACCCTGCTGACCCCCCCCCCCCCCCCCTTTCCCCTGCATATCACCTCACACCCATCATCCCCCACCACTCCTCCTGGTCACACACACACATCTCTCATCCATCTGTATTATTGTATTATAGTATGTTCATATTATGTCCATATTCTTTATATTATCTGTAAACTAGTATAGCATGCTCACTGCATCTTAATCTGTATATTATTAGTATAGATGCTCACTGCACCTTAATCTGTATATTATTAGTATAGCATGCTCACTGCACCTTAATCTGTATATTATTAGTATAGCATGCTCACTGCATCTTAATCTGTATATTATTAGTATAGCATGCTCACTGCACCTTAATCTGTATATTATTAGTATAGCATGCTCACTGCATCTTAATCTGTATATTATTAGTATAGCATGCTCACTGCACCTTAATCTGTATATTATAATCCTAAAAATACACTTATTTTGTAGCATTACTTATTTATAGCATTTATTTATATTTATTGCATCCCATTAATCCAGCCATCCAGATATACCTAATAATTCACTTTTTTTAGTCTACATCTGTAAATTGTGTAATTACTGTACATAGCACAGACTCTTGCACTTTCTGCTTATTTGCACTTCTGGTGAGATGCCAAACCTCATTTCGTTACTCTATACTTGTATATGTGTAATGACAATAAAGTTGAATCTCATCTCATCTCATCTCATCATCATCATCATCATCATCATCATCATCATCATCATCATCATCATCACCATCATCATGTTCATCATCATCACCATCATCATCATCACCATCACCATGTTCATCATCATCATCATCATCATGTTCATCATCAGCATCATCATCATCATCATCATGTTCATCATCATCATCATGTTCATCATCATCATCATCATCATCATCATCATCATCATCATCATCATCATCATCATCATCACCATCATCATCATCATCATCATCATCATCATGTTCATCATCATCATCATCATCATCATCACCATCACCATCACCATCATCATCATCATCATGATCATCACCATCATCATCATCATCATTATCATCATCATCATCATCACGTAACCTGAGCAGGTGTTCTGTTCTTACCTGAGGGACGTCTTTAATGTCGTTAAAGTCCAGATTCAGTAACTCCAACCTGAAGAGATAAAAAATAAAACTTTATTTATTCAATAAAACCAAAACTATTTCAATGTAATCAGATTATTATTATTATTATTTTTAAATTGTATTAATTTGTGAACTTTGATGACAGCCAGGTGTGTGATGTTTAAAACTGGTCAGATCAGCATTCTGGTGACATGAATAACAAGTGCACTAGTTTACTTCTTGTAGATAATATGAGGTAGTGTTACCTGGAAAAAGGTTTTACCTGGTTGAGTGTTGTTACAAGGTGAGGCAGTGTTACCTGGTGACATAATGCTACCTGGTGACATATTGTTACCTGGTGACATATTCTTACCTGGTGACATACTGTTACCTGGTGACATACTGTTACCTGGTGACATATTGTTACCTAGTGACATACTGTTACCTGGTGACATAGTGTTACCTGTTTGATTCTTACCTGGTGACATATTCTTACCTGGTGACATATTGTTACCTGGTGACACATTGTTACCGGTTTGATTCTTACCTGGTGACATATTCTTACCTGGTGACATATTGTTACCTGGTGACACATTGTTACCTGTTTGATTCTTACCCGGTGACATATTGTTACCTGGTGACATATTGTTACCTGATGAAATATTGTTACCTGGCGACATATTGTTACCTGCTTGATTGTTACCTGGTGACATATTGTTACCTGTTTGATTGTTACCTGGTGACATATTGTTACCTGGTGATATATTCTTACCTGTTTGATTGTTACCTGGCGACATATTGTTACCTGCTTGATTGTTACCTGGCGACATATTGTTACCTGCTTGATTGTTACCTGGTGACATATTGTTACCTGGTGACATATTGTTATCTGTTTGATTGTTGCCTGGTGACATATTGTTACCTGTTTGATTGTTACCTGGTGACATATTGTTACCTGTTTGATTGTTACCTGGTGACACATTGTTTCCTGTTTGATTGTTACCTGGTGACACATTGTTTCCTGTTTGATTGTTACCTGGTGACACATTGTTTCCTGTTTGATTGTTACCTGGTGACATATTGTTACCTGGTGAGGCAGCAGAGGGCCTTTGGCAGAGTGTGGAGGCTATTTCCCTCCACGATCAGGATCTTAAGCTCCACCAGAGCCTGGATGTTCTCTGCCAGATTCTCCAGACGGTTACAGGCCAGGTGAAGGAACACCTGTAAGAACAGAGGAGGTGTCTGACCGACAGGTAGAGGAGACCAAACTTCTTAGCTTCTTAACCAGGAACTGCTTGTACGACTAAACTGTGCAAGCTGTTTTTGTTGGATCTAAATGTTAGCTCTCTCACGTGTGTCCTGGGATGTATTTAAAGATAGATATCACCTCTAGGTGATAAAAAGTACATTAGGTGGACTTCCAGGTATCACACCTGTGCAGTCTGTTAGTCAACGGGTGCAGTGAAGTCGGTTCAGGTGGTGTGAACGTACCAGAGCCTTCATGTTGTAGACACAGCCCGGGATGTGAGCGACGTGGTTGTGACTGAGGTTGAGTTTCCGTAGTCGGGTCAGGTTGGAGAGGGAGGCGGGCAGCGAGGACAGCTGGTTATTGGCCAGACTCAAAACCTGAGAAACAGACACGCTGTTAGAAAGAACACTTAAACTTCTCTTCAGTCCTGATTTATCCCTACAGCACCTGTTCTGGAGTTCCACAAGGCTCCACCTCAGGTCCTGTTCAATTCTCAAACATATTCACCTTTTAATGATGTAAGCTAACGGTCGTTCAATCCCACAACCAGCAGTTAAAGGGCAACACAATCGTTCATGTGGAGTCATGTTCATGTCACCTGATGCATATAAGCTCCTCCCCCAGGTTAAACCTCATCTGTTTCTATGAAGCTGCTTTTCTTCCTGAGAGTGTGCAGCGTTAAAAAGAGATGCCTGCTTTCATGACCTTTCAAGCTGACATGTGATCCATATGAAAACTAAGTAGTAGAATTATTTTCAGCAGTAGTAAGTAAATCAGTAGTTGGAGTATTTTCAGCAGGACATGCAGTACCTCCAGCTGTGTACAGGCTCCCAGCTCCTCAGGAACTTCACTCAGTCTGTTTCTGTAAGCGAACAAAACCCTCAGTTTCCTCAGCTGACCAATCTCTGCAGGCAGGCTGCTGAGCTGCATACACACAACACACAGGAACATCAGTTTTATTTACGAGACGCACCATGAGGATTCTACGTCCATGCTGTTAACTCAACATTACAAATAAAGTTGAATTGTGGAACTCCAGATCGCTGTCACACAGCATGAGTTGAACAAAAGAAGACATGAAGTCAATATTTAAACTGAATACAACTTTAAAAATAAAAAAATAAAGAAACCGGCCTGTTTCATGTTTCTGAATGTGCACACACACACACACAGTTGTGGTTCACGTCAATCTTCCACTGTAGAGAAAGTATTCTAATGATGTTGGGGATACTGGAATGAAGCCTGCTGCCTGTAGGGGGCACTGTCAGACCAGCCTGTTGTTTCTCAGAGCAGATGAAGTGAAGGTTGAAGGAGGAGGAGAAGGAGGTTAAGAGAGGACAGAAACTGGATCCTGGTGGATTAGAGGAGCGATTAGAAGTTTTATTTCTGCAGCAAACTCAGCAGCTGGTGGGGTGGCGGGGGGGGCATTCAACCACCTCCCCAAGCTAACATATAATGCTAAGGTTACCCTGACCGAATTGTTCACAAAGATTGAAACACTGGACCAAAAGAGGAGCGAGGGTTCGCTCTCTTTAAGTTAAAAATTTGACTGAAAAAACAGTTTGTTCCCGTACTGACAATGTTTTTGTGTTATTTCAGACAGCGAGCAGGATTCTCAATATCATCGTCTATAACCAATCAGATGTTTTATAAGCTCATTAAATGGTCACTTAATCAAACAGTCAAATATACAAAATCCACTTCACCATGTTCCTCTAGTCTGTCTACAAACCCCCCAATGATGAGAAAAGTCCATCCTCTCCGTCTTTTGCCTGCTCCTCTTTTCAGAAAATGTGTGCTCAAACAGGCCGTTTGGAGATTTTCCCTTCATGACATCACAAAGGGCAGTAGCCCCTCCCCCAGGTGGGTGACACTCCCACAGCTAGGTGTTTGTTCTGCCCTCTGAGTCTGCCTTCTCACCGTAAACAATAGGTGATGGAGCGAGAAAGACCGAGTACACCCAAGCCCTTCCAGAGAGGGGGCGTGGTCAGACACAGCTCATTTACATATTTAAAGGTACAGACACAGAAACAGCCTGTTCTGAGCAGGGCTGAAATAGAGGGGTTTATAGACATGATCAAATACAGGATCAGAGTGGATTTAGAACAAGAAACTTCACACACATGTTTTGAGGAGCTCTGAGACTTATTTACACTGAAGAAGAGGAGGAGGAGATGTAAGCTTTAATTATTGTTCTGTTTTTTGGTGCTCTTTGGGTTTTCCTGATGAAACTGCAGATGTGGACGACAGAGCAGGTGAGTTACCTGGTTACCCCAAAGGTTGAGGACAACCAGGTTGGATAGCAAGGCAAGCTGAGGAGGGAGAACCTTCAGACTGTTCAGAGACAGATTCAACTTCTCCAACTCCAGCAGCTCCCACAATTCATCAGGAGCTTCCTGCAGGACGAGGAGGGACAAGAGGGGTGTGACAAGATCAGAATTTAAAACAACCAACGTATTGACAGGTAGGCTAGCTTATCATGCTAACAGGACCTGCTGAATAATGACAGGTAGGCTATCTTATCATGCTAACATGACAGGTAGGCTAGCTTATCATGCTAACAGGACCTGCTGAGTAATGACAGGTAGGCTAGCTTATCATGCTAACGGGACCTGCTGCGTAATGACAGGTAGGCTAGCTTATCATGCTAACGGGACCTGCTGTGTAACGACAGGTAGACAAGCTGTCATACAGAACAGGAAGTCAGGGTTTTGGAAAGAGCTCCAGGAGAGTGACAGCTTCCTGTGAAAAGTAGCAGCCAATGAAAAAGTGTTCTGCACACACTGCAAGTACCCTTTTTTCTGTCGCCCACGGAGGAAATGCCGACACACAAAGTTGTATAAAATCTAGCAAACACAAACGGTGGGTACGGGTTGAAACTGTTACTTTCTACCACAGTGAGGAAAACGCAGCTAACAGCTAACGCCTGAACTGTGGTTCCATCGTGTGCGTTAGCGGTAAACTTAAAGTATCCTCATTTGGAGGTTTTAAAATATGGTCACCCTTATTTTTCTGTAACAATAATACAGCTTCCAGACACAATCCCTCTGATCATCTTTGTGCTTCTCTGAATCTTTCTGTTCTTCAGAATACAATCTGATAAGATGATGAATTAATGCGTGACGTGTTCGTTAGCTTGTTTTGTTAGTTAACGGTAGATTCTTCTCATCATGACGTCTTTAAAGCAGTTTCTCTGTTGGTTAGATTTTGTAGCGAGTTTGAAGCACAGGTAGAGACCAGAAGCCGGCACAGCCAGAAGTCGTTAACCATGAATGTGTCTTCATGACAGCGGTGGCCATCTTGTTTCCTGTTGGAATGGCGGTCTTACCTTCATTCCGCGGCGAGCCAGACTCAGGACGTTGTATCCAAACTGTTTGACGATGAATCGACGAATTCTGTCCGCTGACGTCAGATTCTCCTCCCGCCCTACGCTCCTCCTCTTCTCCTCCTTCACCTCCTCCCGACACACAGCTGCTCCCATCCTCCCCCCAGCAGTCCCCCCCCTCCCTCACAAATCAACCTGTCCAGGTGTAACTCTTCAGTCCAAGCGTTACTCTTCAACTCCACTTACATCAGATGTTACCGAGGTGGATTTCTGAGTCCAGTTGTTGTCCAGGTACACTATAGTCCAGGTGTTAGTCTATAGTCCAGGTGTTAGTCTATAGTCCAGGTGTAAATCTATAGTCCAGGTGTAAATCTATAGTCCAGGTGTTAGTCTATAGTCCAGGTGTAAATCTATAGTCCAGGTGTAAATCTATAGTCCAGGTGTTAGTCTATAGTCCAGGTGTTAGTCTATAGTCCAGGTGTAAATCTATAGTCCAGGTGTAAATCTATAGTCCAGGTGTTAGTCTATAGTCCAGGTGTTAGTCTATAGTCCAGGTGTAACTCTATAGTCCAGGTGTAAGTCTATAGTCCAGGTGTAAATCTATAGTCCAGGTTAAGTCTATAGTCCAGGTGTTAGTCTATAGTCCAGGAGTTAGTCTATAGTCCAGGTGTAAGTCTATAGTCCAGGTGTTAGTCTATAGTCCAGGTGTAAGTCTATAGTCCAGGTGTTGTCCAGGTTAAGTCTATAGTCCAGGTGTAAGTCTATAGTCCAGGTTAAGTCTACAGTCCAGGTGTTAGCCTATAGTCCAGGTGTAACTCTATAGTCCAGGTGTAAGTCTATAGTCCAGGTCTTAGTCTATAGTCCAGGTGTTAGTCTATAGTCCAGGTGTAGGTCTATAGTCCAGGTTAAGTCTACAGTCCAGGTGTTAGCCTATAGTCCAGGTGTAGGTCTATAGTCCAGGTTAAGTCTACAGTCCAGGTGTTAGCCTATAGTCCAGGTGTAAGTCTATAGTCCAGGTGTTAGTCTATAGTCCAAGTATAAGTCTATAGTCCAGGTGTTAGTCTATAGTCCAGGTGTTAGTCTATAGTCCAGGTATAAGTCTATAGTCCAGGTGTTAGTCTATAGTCCAGGTGTAAGTCTATAGTCCAGGTGTTGTCCAGATTAAGTCTATAGTCCAGGTTAAGTCTATAGTCCAGGTGTTAGTCTATAGTCCAGGTGTTAGTCTATAGTCCAGGTATAAGTCTATAGTCCAGGTATAAGTCTATAGTCCAGGTGTTAGTCTATAGTCCAGGTGTTAGTCTATAGTCCAGGTATAAGTCTATAGTCCAGGTGTTAGTCTATAGTCCAGGTGTTAGTCTATAGTCCAGGTGTTAGTCTATAGTCCAGGTATAAGTCTATAGTCCAGGTGTTAGTCTATAGTCCAGGTGTTAGTCTATAGTCCAGGTATAAGTCTATAGTCCAGGTGTTAGTCTATAGTCCAGGTATAAGTCTATAGTCCAGGTGTTAGTCTATAGTCCAGGTATAAGTCTATAGTCCAGGTGTTAGTCTATAGTCCAGGTATAAGTCTATAGTCCAGGTGTTAGTCTATAGTCCAGGTGTACCTTTAGCGTTGTTGCTGTAGTCTGTGGATCAGGTAAGCTCTGCAGGTAAAAAGCATTGACAGTCTTTTTTAATGTCTTTGTCTTCTGATGATGATGATGAAGACTCAAAGCTGTTAGTTTGCTCTTCCTGTTGTCGTCTCCTCGCTCGTGTTCTTCTTACTCTCTGATGTTCGTCTGATTAATGAATTGTAGCAGCTGTATTCTAATAAAAATAAAATGATATCGATAACTGTTTGATATACTGGATCATTTCTGTCTTCCAATGAAATAACTTTGCAGTCAAACACTGTAGAAACGCTCTCAGACCTCTCTCTCTCTTTTGGTTCCACATGTCACTGAAGAAGTTTTCTTAAAGTTTGGGTACTTTTTGATACTAACCATTATATAAAATAACAGAGACTATCATTTCCAAACATGTGGTATCGAAATGTTTTCAGCAGCAGACTCAGCAGATTTAGTTCTGTGAGGCGCATTAGAGAGAGAGCTGAAAGTTTTTATAAATCTCTAAGATTTATCTGACAGTTAACACAAACACACACACACACACACACACACACACACACACACACACACACACACACACACACACACACACACACACACACACACACACACACACACACACACACACACACACACACACACACACACACAAACACACACACACGTTCATGGATCTCTCACCTCATAAAACGTGTCTTCAACCAGCTGAAATATGTCAGGCGTCCCGCTGAGAGTCTCTTCATTTCCTCAGAAACATGACAGCTGACAGCAGAAGTGAGCTGATCCCGGACCGATCATCCTATCGATGAAGTCTGCAGGAAACCGTTAGAGAAAGGACGATCGAGATAAAGAGAGAGAGGACGAGCAGTGACAGACAACTAGGTCTCACCTTTGACCAACACCCCCCCCTCCCCCCACACACACACACACACTTGCTGCTGTCAGTCATCTGCAGCTCTGGAGGAAGTCTAAAGATGTTTACTGCAGTAAAAGTTCTGTTCTATTTCATCCTTCCTGACCGCCAGAGGAGGTGCTTTAAGCACTGAATGATACCATATCGCGCATGTGCAGGTCGAATAGCTATACCAACAAAGTCACATGTGACCCCTGATGACCCTCTTCCGGTGTCATCAGAGGATCTGTTCCTTTACATCTCGCTCGCAGGTAGTTGAACTATTGAGTAGCACTTTAGCTTGTCACCCTGTGACTTTTGTCAGAGTCACGGTGCTTCAGTCGCCCTCCAAGGGCTGTGACGAGCTTGGCCTTCAGCGTTTTTTTCCTTGGATAGTGATCCCTAAGGTTTGTCGCCGACATAATCACAGTTTTTTGTTGTTGCTGAAGTTTGTATGTTTTTCCCACATCCAGCTCACTTTAATTTCTGTTTGTTATGGTTAGCGACGTTGTGTCCAATGGAGCTAACCGCTAACGGCGTGGGGTAGCAACTCGGTTGCGCCCGTGTTGTTTTGTTGATAGCACTTAACGTTTAAGGCTTGCGTTTTCGCTTGCGTTAACTGTTACTACCGGCAGCACCTGTTGTTGGTGCCTGTCCTTTTTTTCGGCGTGGAGGCGGCGTTTGCGCTCCTTCCCCCCATTAAGTTTTGCCTTTTTGTCGTTTAGTTGAAGCGCTTCCGCTTATAGACAACTAGTGGTGGCCATTGTGTTTCTACCTGTTTATTCTGTCATATACCCTTTGTCGGTGAAGGCAGTGTGTTCCCTCCCTCTCCCGACATAGGTGCGTCCTGTTTAGTTGGCTGGTGTTTTCGCCCGAAGCTGGCTTGTAATTAGCGCATCAGATTGCCTCGTTGGAGAGGCTGTGTTTCCGCGCTCACTTCAGCGTAGGTGTAGTAACTTCTTCTGGCATAGTGTTTCCGCTAGTGCCTGCTCTCTGTATATCAACTGGTTGGTGAAGGCAGTGTTTATGCTTCCCCGCTCCCAGCTCGTTGTTGTGTCCTCAGTCAGTGCTGGCTATGTTGGGCAATCACTGCTGTACTGCCTGTATGGCTACTATGCAGCCTGAGGACAGTCATGATCTCTGTCCCTCCTTCCTGGGCCTCGAACACCTGAGGGAGAGCCTGTCTGAGGATCCCTGCATGAACTGCAGCTACATGCCTCGGACCATGAGAGCTGCTCAACTGTCTGAGGTGAAGGAACTTCTGGGGGGGTGAGCTCGCCAGTTTATTTGTCTCCTCCTCAGCTGACTCTGGCTCAGGGGCTGGTTACGATCCTGGCCGGTTGAAGCGTAGAGCTGCTGAGACTGAGGGCGCCTCTAACCGGAAGCAGTCCAAGCTCGCTTCCAGGGTGGACCAGCTTACGGCAGAGCTTGATCAGATGAAGGCTGCCTTTTTCACAAGGCAGACTGAGGCGAGTAGGGTCAGTGTGGTCCCGCCTGCTCCTCCTGAAGCCCTCTCCCACGTTACCTCAGATGGCCGGGCTCTTGCAGCTATGCAGGATGCGGCCAAGTTCGGGTTGGGCCACATGCCGGCAGTAGAGCCAGCCATTGCGGCTCTTATTGTTTCTCCCGATGAGGCCCTTAGGCGGGATGCGCGGTGTCCCCGACCTCAATGTGACAGACGACCTCCTGTCTAGGGCTTATGAGGCAGGAGCCTGTATGGGGAGGATAGGGAACTCGATGTTCCACCTTCTGCTTGCCATGTCAGCCTCCCCGCCGGAGACTGCACCTGATTCATCGGTGCATAGTCTTGATAGTGATGCGTCCCTCCAGGCGTTCGCGCTGATGTCTAGGGAGTTGGGACGGGTGATGTCCACACTCGTCCAGGCTTGCTGCCAGGTTTGGTTGGTGCAGTCGCACCTCACTGAGGCAAGCAGGAGGATCCTGCGCAGTGTTCCAGTGGAGCCTAGGGAGCTGTTCGGATCAACAGACCAGGCAGCAGCTCTCTGGTCTCAGCAGGGTCACCAGCAGCCTCAGCGCCCAGCACAGCATCCTGGCCGTCATGCAGCCCAGGACTTTTGGGTCCTCAATCGCCTGCCCTCCAGGGCAGCCTCGGACCTGGGGCTACAATCGGCGCCCCCCCCCCAGAGCCTCTAGAGGCCGGGGGACCAGGCCCTTAGGCCTTGGGGCCGGCTGTCGGCTGTTTTTCCCAGAAGCAGCTCAGCTACTGGGCTGCTTCAACACCAGATGCTTGGGTGGTTTCCACTCTAGCCCAGGGATACAGACTGCAGTTCCGACACCGGCCCACAGCCATTGGCCGGGTCAAGATGACCATCATAGGCGACCCGGCAAAAGCCCTTGCTCTCAACCAAGAGCTCTCTACCTTCTTGGTCAAGGGTGCCATCGAGCGGGTAGACCCCGTGGCTCAGCCCGGGGGGATACTACTCAACGTACTTCCTTGTCACAAAGAAGGACGGTGGACTTCGCCCTATTTTAGATCTGCGGGGTCTCAACAGGTTCCTAAAGGTCATGCCATTCCATATGCTCAGCACTGCAGAGGTTCTGCGTGCTGTGGAAAGGGCGAATGGTTTACATCCAACAACCTGAAGGACGCGTACTTTCACGTCCTCATATTTCCTCGACACAGGCAATTCCTCCGTTTTGCCTTTCAGGGCCATCATTTTCAGTTCAGGGTTCTTCCGTTCGGCCTCTCCCTTTCCCCCCGGCTGTTCACCAGGTGTGTAGCAGCAGCTCTGTCTCCCCTACAATCCCAGGGCATGAAGGTCCTCCCCTATCTGGACGACTGACTGGTGTGTGTGCCGTCACAGTCACAGGTAGCCAGGGATACCGCAGCCCTCCTTTCCCATGTGGCCCAGTTGGGCCTCAGGGTGAACTCCGAGAAGAGCTGCTGTATTCCTTCCCAGACCATCACCTTTCTGGACACTGCATGTATGAAGGCTTATCCATCGCGTCGGCGGGTGGACAACATCCTGGGCCTCCTTCCCCTCTTCTGTGGGGGCAGGAAGCTGCCTTATGTCAAATTCCTTCAGCTTTTGGGGAAGCTGACGTCAGCCGCAACCGTGGTGCCTTTAGGTCTGCTGTCGCTACGCCCCCTCCAAAGGTGGCTCAACAGATTCCATCTGGATGCAAAGTGGCACAGGCACAGGACACTCAGTGTCTCAGCGGTGACTCATTGCACTGGCCCCATGGAGGAAGAGGTCTTTCATGCTGAGGGGCATGACCATGGGCTCAATTCAACCAGGAAGCAACCAGGAGCCGGAAGCAACCAGGAGCAGCCTGTGGCTTCTTCTGGTTTGTGTTCGGAGACACAAGCTCACCTCCTGTTTTCTGCAACAATCTTCCTTTGTTTTAAGTTTTGGTGTGCAGGTAATCCGCGGCCGGCAGTGTTCTAAATTCCGACCTCGGATTGTCCAGTGAACGCATCTCAGTTTCTCGGAGAGCGTCAGACTATAACAGATTATCAGAAAGATAACGGTCTTATTCCGTCCTGCAACGAAAGGACATCAAAGGACATCTTTCCACTCGACGGAGAACCAACGAAGCCGCTCTCGCCGTAAGGGACCCTCGCCGCCATCAGACGCCTCTGCACCAGGACGGACAGAAGATCTGCTCCATCGCCGGACTCTTTTCCTTTCACCAATCGCGGACAAAGCGATTCACAAGTGAGGCTTAATTAGGTCTGGGCAGAATTAGCTTTAGAGAGTGTTTTTAACAATTGTTGATCGAAGCAGAAACTGTAATTTTTATCTTTGTTGGACCTGCGTCCTGAGTTTTAACTGTTTAAAACTCTTGTTGTTGTTTCGGACCGCTGCGTCCTGTATGTGTTTAGCGTAACAGCGTTATAACCGGGTATTACTCCTCTGATCAGAAAGGCCAGTGTAAGCTGTATTAACCTGAATTCGGCTATTGGTTTGTTTCTGTGAATGAAGGGAATTACTCCGAGTTGTGGCGCGGGAGTCGGACTGTGATCCGGCCTCTTCAGGCACGCATTTCTCTTTTATCCTCTTTTATTTCCCCTTCTACGAACACACACACACACACATATTCCCGTGTAAACGTACATCTGTAGACCAACTCCACCACTGTGCCATTACGCACGTAGGCCACACACACACACACACACACACACACACACACACACACACACACAAATCTATACACTCACGGTCATCCAGACACACACACACACACACACACACACACACACACACACACACACACACACACACACACACACACACACACAAAACTCCATTTCTTACTCCTCTTCCACAAGTCTTGCTTGATAATGTTTGTTGTTTAGATTAGTTTATAATAGTTATTTGTTTGATTAAGTTCATTGATTTTGGATTGATGTTCTTTGTTTAAATAAATTCTGTTATAATTTAAGAGAGCAGTTGTTTGTGATTACTGGTGTATTTACATTGTGATATAAGCTGGGTGCGAAGGCTTTGTGTACGGATTTCACGCCTTCAATTTATTGAATATAGTTATTCATTATTAATAATATTAGTAATTAAATAACTAATTTGAGATATAGATAG